GACTTGCATGAAGATACAATGTGTTCTGATATTCTCTATTTCTTATATAAAAGATCCCAAACTATATTTACAATTTGACATTCTGCTCTATTAACACTTTGAGATATAAATTACATACAGTAAAATGCACAGAATGTAACTGCACAAGCCAATATATATTTTCTCTTTTAATATTCCCTTTCTTGTATGAATTTTAACAAAACTTTCTTGAGGCACAATTGACATATAATAATAAATGTCTGTTTATACTCAAACTATTTTCACAATCAAAACAGCAAATATACAAATCACTCTCAGAAGTTTCTTCTTACTTCTAGATTTAAAAAAAAAACCATGTATTTAAAAACATGTTTGTTTTAGATTTAGTTTTTATTTTATTTTATGTGTATGAGTGTGTTGTCTGCATGTGTGTATGTGCACCACATGTTTGTCCAGTACCTGTGGAGGTCAGAAGTAGTGTCAGATTCCCTGGGGTTGCAGATGGTTGTGAGCTGACATGTGACATGTGGGTGCAGGAATTTAAACCTAGTTTTTCTGCAAAAGCAGCAAGTGCTCTGAACTGCTGATCCACTCTCCAAAGATTTATTTTTTATTTTTAATTGTGTGTAGGTAGGAAGGAGTCTGTGAGTGGGAATATGCATTTGTGAATGCAGTGCCTGTGGAGTCCAGAAGAGGGCAGTGTGCTCCCTGGAGCTGGAGTTGTAAAGGCATACAGTGAGAATGGCTGGGAACTGAACTCAGGTCTTTTCTTCTTTTTTTCTCAAGACAGGGTTTCTCTGTGTAGCTTTGCGCCTTTCCTGGAACTCACTCTGTAGCCCAGGCTGGCCTCAGACTCACAGAGATCCGCCTGCCTCTGCCTCCCAAGTGCTGGGATTAAAAGCACGCACCACCACTGCCCGGCTGAATTCAGGTCTTCTATAAGAGCAGTACATGCTTTTAATTGTCAAGGGAATCTCTTTGGCCTCAGTGTTTTATTAGTTGGTAAAATGGGAGAGGTTGATATTGCAGCCTGGAGGGCCAGCCTTCAGCAGCATAGGATATGAAAAAAAAAAATTCCGTGATGTCAGAGTCAGTTGCTGAGAGAATCTGTGCAGGGAATTATGTCTTTAATGTTATCAGGAAGAGTTTTGCAAGGGAGAAACTGGTACTAAAGTTGCTTTATGCCTGACCTTGGTTCAACAACCAGACACCTGGGAATCTGTCCTTGTGTGATTCATTTGCAGGGGCAACTAGTTTGCTTTGAATTTACTCTGAGGTCTTCAGTCAGCTAATTGTGTAAAAAGCTGTCTCTGTAGCTGAGAATACTGTGATTTTCCTATGTCAGCCTGAGCTATGAAAAATACCCTAGTATTATTTATATTCATCAAAATTATACAGCTTAAGAAGAAATCATCTTTAGATAGTCCACAGAATAAATGCCTTTAGGATTGAGATGTAGTCATGAGGTTACATGTACACATTACATGGACATGCATGGCAATGGGGAGATTCCACAGCTGTTCTTGCACACATGAAATTATAGACAGAAGCAACCAGTTTTCAGAGTTTGTGGCCCTGTAAGACTTGCTGGATGAGATTTCTCCATCAAAGAATTATTCATCTGGTGGGTTGACATCTGAATTGTTAACTGCCATCTGCTGTAATGTGCCATGGACCATGGCAGGGTGCTGAGTCACATTGAAGGCAGCTAAGAAGCTGGCCTGCATCCTGCAATACTCTGGTGTCAGATCTTCTGATCTTGAACAGATTGACTCAAAGCTGATAGACTTAAGTAAATGCATAGCCAGCATTGTACTCAGTGAGGAAAAGCAAGGTTTCTTGAGAAACAAGCCAAGGGTGTCCATTCTCTCCACTGTTATTTAATGTGGTTCTTGATGTCTCCGTGAGAGCAATAAGGCAAGAGAAAGAAATAAAAAAAAGGTACATATAAGAAAAAGAAAAAGACAATTTATCTCTCTTTGGAGATAGGATCCTATACTTGAAAGATCCTAATGACTCCACCAGAGAACTCTTGAATATGATGAAAAAATCCTGTAAAGTAGTAAGATATGACATGAGCATAAATAAAAAGTAGCCTTTTATATACCAACAATGAACTTGCTGAGAAATGAATCAGGGGGAAAATTCCCATGCAAAATAGCTTAAAAACAACCCAATAAAGAAATCTAGCCAAAGAGGCAAAGGCTGTCTAAAATGAAAACTCTACAACACAGAAAGTAAAGATATAAAAAACTAAAGCAAAACAAACAAACAAAATGAAAAGACTCCCCATGAAGCGTGGATCGGCAGGGTTAATACTGTGATATGGCTTTGCTACCAAAAGAAAACTACAGATTCAGTGCACTCCCCATTTACATTCTGATGACATTCATCACAGAACTAGAAAGACAATCCTAAAAATCATAGGAAAGACACCGAAGAGCCAAAGGAATTCTGAGCCAAAGGAACAACCCAGGAGGGTCTCATAGTACTTGGTTTCAAATTGAACTGTGGAGCCATGGTAACACAAACAGACATGTGGACGGCTGGAACAGGAGAGAGACACACTAACCCACACAACCACAGCTATACCACACTGCAGCTAAGCTTTGACAAAAGGGTCTAAACCAGTGGTTCTCAACCTGTGGATCGTGACCACTTTAGGGTCAAAGGACCCTTTCACAGGGATTCCATAACAGATATTCTGCGTATCAGATATTTACATTACAATTCACAACAGTAGCAAAATTATAGTTATGAAGTAGCAGTGAACTAATTTCCTGGTTGGGGTCACCCCAGCACGAAGAACTGTATTAAAGGTTTGCAGCATTAGGAAGGCTGAGAGCCACTGCCCTGAAACATACATTGGCAAAAATGTAGCTTCTTCAAGAAATGGTGCTAGGAAGAGCAGAGACCCACGTGAGGAAAAATGAAACTGGATCCAGATTGTTCAGGCTACACAAAAGTTGGTTAAACATGGATTGAAGACATCGATTTAAGAATGGAAAGTCTAACAATGTTATAGGGAAATACTTCAAATAGTAAGCAAGGATGCTCTGAAAAAGATTCCAATAGCATGGGAAATAACCCTAAGAAATGATAGGGAGGGCCTGAAATCAGGAAACTTCTGCACAGGAAACAGCATGCAGCATGAAGAGAACCTATGAAGTGAGAGAAAACCTTCCCAACTATACATTCTCCTGGGATCCATATCTAGAGTTCAAATAACCCAATTGATAGATCCTTGAATAGATTAGACATTTGGGGGGCTTATAAAATATTTTATTGTTCTTTAAAAGGGCTCAGGGTTTGCTTGCAAATCAGGCTGCACACTTTGAACCAGCCTGACGTCTTTCACCATGCCAAACTGGCTTCAGCTAGCAATACTTCATTAAATCCAAAAGTTAAAAAAAAAGTTTTAATTTTGAGAAAAAGAAGTTCAGTTGTGTGAACAATTAACTGCTGTGGGATGTTCTGTATGTCCTGTGGGAGCCTGTTCTTGGGTTCCTCGTGGCTTTACCCAGCAGGTCCGCATAGAGGATGATTAGGACCACGGGCCTGAGTGCAGGTGTCTGAGATGGTCTGCACTTGGCTGTGCTGGGGGAAGGTCTGTAAATGTGTTGCTCTGATTGGTCAATAAATAAAACCTGATTGGCCGTGGCTAGGCAGGAAGTATAGGCAGGACTAACAGAGAGGAGAAATAAAAGAACAGGAAGGCAGAAGGAGTCACTGCCAACTGCAGCCACCAGGACAAGGAAGATGTAAAGTACCGGTAAGCCGCGAGCCATGTGGCAGGGTATAGATTTGTAGAAATGGATTAATTTAAGGTATAAGAACAATTAGCAAGAAGCCTGCCATGGCCATACAGTTTGTAAAGCAATATAAGTCTCTGTGTTTACTTGGTTGGGTCTGAGCGCCTGTGGGACTGGCAGGTGACAAAGATTTGTCCTGACTGTGGGCAGGGCAGGAAAACTTAAGCTACAATTAACATTAATTTTATTTAAAAACAAACAAACAAACAAACAAAAAAGAACCAGGAATATCATTCTGCTAATTCAAGCAATGTTGATACTGTATGCCCATACCCTCACGTCAAACACACAGGCATACACCGACATCCACAGCCCATCAAATAGAAAAGCCTTGGTACTGATCAAAGCCCTTGGGACCAATAGCCAATCTAAACTTAGATGGTAAGATGTTTTCATCTTGAGTCTATGCTAAGGAATTTATTGTCATTTTGTGATGGTTTGAAAGAAAATGGCCCCCAAAGGGAGTGGCACTATTGGGAGGCGTGGCCTTGTTGGAGTAGGAGTGGCCTTGTTGGAGGAAGTGTGTCACTGTGGAGGTGGGCTTTGAGGTCTCATATATGCTGAAACCATGCCCAGTATCTCAGTTCACTTCCTGTTGCCTGCCAATCAAGATGTAGGACTCTTGGTTCCAGCACCATGTCTGCCTGCACACCGCCATGTCCCACCACGATGACAGTGGACTAAACCTCTGAAATGAAAGCCATTCCATTAACTGCTTTCCTTTGTAAGAGTTGCCATGGTCATGGTGTCTCTTTACAGCAATAGAAACCCCAACTAAGACACATGTTCTGAAATAAGAGAATTTGGGTTAGCATCATTTTTTTTTTTAACTTTAAAATTCCAGAAACAATATCACTTTTCCTTTTCTGGGATTAGGCAGGAGAGATTCTACAGGCTTGCACGTAGTTAAAAATCAGAACAGCCTTGGTAATAGCAACAGGCATCTCACAAAGCTGGTCAATATCTGAATCTCATCAGTGTGAGACCAGGTCCCTCCATCCCCACTGGCTTAGCTGACATCAGCTGGGAAGCCTATGGCTCTGTGTGGTGAATTCCGGTCAGACAAGATGATTCTAGGCCTGGGCTCAGGGCCTGGGTAGCAGCACACAGCCAAGTCGGTAACACATAGGTAAAGAGGGTGCCAGACTCCCTGAAGATGCCCCTCCTCTTGCTTTGCCATCACAATCTGGTTATAACTGCCTTCTGCAAAGGAGAAAAACAGCTTTCCTAGAACAGTACATTGAGCCCAGTGGAAAATCTGCAAATGATGTCACCAGCAATGCTGCCCCCTTTGCTACTCAGTGGGTTGCTTGTAATCACTCTTCCATCTGAACAGACAGGTGTGTGTGTGTGTGTGTGTGTGTGTGTGTGTGTGTGTGTGTGTGTGAAAATATCACAGTGAAACCCATTATTTTATGTGCCAATTAAAACTCTGTATTATTTAAAGTCTTTGGTGTATAAGAAAGGAGGAATGTAGTATCAGTCAGAAGCAAAGTGATGACCCACTCGAAGGGTGATGGAAAACATCCGCGAAGGGGCTGTTTGCAAAGGGAGAACAGGAGTGGAGACCACCCCAAGACTCTCCACCAGGACCAGCACTAGCCGTCCATCAGTGTGAAGGTCCATGGTGTGGACAAGGGCATAGGGCTGCTGGAAGCAGTGGCCAAGGATGCGTGCTGACCTTTAGCTGGGGCAAATGGAGCCTGCCACATCAGGACAATGGATGGGCCACCTCCTCTTTTCTAGCATCCTCGGGTCACTTGCCCACCATTCCTAATAGCCAAAACCAACGGGAGGTCAGAGGAAATGGGCCATGTGCTCCAGTTCAGCAATGAAAAGGGTAGAGGGGGACGCTGGAGGGATGGAGAATATCCAGTGTGAAACCTGTGCTGCAGGGGTCCAGGAAAGCTTTCGCTTGACACGGCATCAAAGGCGCTATTCCAGGTGACCTCAAATTTCAGGGACTTAAAGCCACTGCCTGCTGTAAATCCAAAAGCTCGCTCTGGTTTTCACCCGAAGCCAGAGCCTGTTTCTATTGTAGTCATCATCCCCCGAAGAACTCAGACACAAGTACCAGCTGTTTAGTTCAAGCCCTTGCTGGAGAGGTGGTAATGGGTCTATTCTTAGAGATCACATTGTGATGGGTGAGCAGCTTGACGTTCAAGGTAGTGGGCGCCCAGCTGACTCCGAATGGTGGTGGTGTTTTTTGCTTTGAAAGAGGTCTTCCTCATTAACTCATTATCTTGCCGGAGAGGCAGTTGCATTTTGGCTCCGGCTTTTAAATGATAGTGGCTCTATTTCCGACTTGCTTGGAAACTTATTATTAACTATTATTCCAAACAATATACTTGCATATTGGACAACCTCGAAGCCAAATTTAGCTGTGCAAATTATAGACAACTGCTCTCCTATAATGCCACCGTGGTGTCCTAAATTTTAAGAAATGAAAGATTAACAAAGCCAGCCTTAAGTGCTTACACAATATTTTACGCAGGAAGCCATTTCCTCCCAAAGACGTGTAGACTGTGTGATGCTGTCAGGGCTCACTGGAAGATAAGTAATGTTCTTGCAAAGGCAGAGGAAGCTGCAGGCCATCAAATGCATGCAAAAGCCTTCAAAGCTGGAAGTACCATCAACCTGTAAAGGAATTACGTTGAAACCAAGGAAAACATAAGGGACCATTTAAATGATTTAAACAGCACACTTTCCCCAAATCCCCAAGACAATTCTCATAACGTTTGCCTGGCCTTTAGGATATGTGGTTTTTTAATGAAAGACAAGACACGTCTTGAGCCATTCTTTGAGGTGGTCGTTTCTCTTAGACCTCTTGCCAAGAAAAGACATCTGGCCTTTGAAAAATATTTCGTAGTTCTGAATCACCGGACTCAAATATATACCTTTATTCTTGTGGAGAAGAGAAACCATGAACACCACTTTGGCTCCTAGAGAAATCTGTTAATACAAGTGGATCTCAGTTATACTGAGTGGGATCCCACTATTGGATTTTAGCAATTTATTTGACATCTCTCAACTCTGAGGATAGTAAGACTACCCTACGTACTTCTTATTAAACAGCAAATGAATTTATATGGAGCATGGTGTTCAATAAAGGAACATCAAAGTCTTTCCCCTAAATGCCCTTGGAACAGAAAATACAGCAAAGTAACCCATTCGCAACACTTCTTACAGTTCAGTGACCTGAGCAAACTACAAAGCATTGGCAGGAGACCTGGGGAGACAGACTATTACCCAATGTATCAATCAGATATGATCATGGTCTCTGACAATCTGATGTGGCATGTGCTGACCTGGGGAGGCAGTATGCTATTTTTTTAAGATTATCCCTTGGTTTGCCCCGGGATTAACTGACCAACGGGTTCAAGAGCTGTGAAGAATAGGACAGTTGTGACCCCAGAATTGCCTGTTCATGTTCAGTGGTTCGTGTGATGTGTCTGCTGCAGCCCAAGGAGAGGGAAATGATACTTCTACTCACAAGCATTGTGTGCCCACTTTGATCAAGATGGCTCAAGATTTAACCAGCTTCAAACGTAAATGACTTCTAGCTGACAGAAGCGTTACCCATCTTTTTTAGTAGCCTTCCAACGCTCTGTGGAGCTCCAGAGATCTGCTGAACTTAAAATTTGGAGAGATAAATATACCGTTCTTTGTGTTTTGCTAATTTTTCAGATAACTTCTTTCACAATGAATAGTTATTTTCTAACTTAAACAATGTATTATAAGAAAAATATCTGCCCTAAAATTCTTATAAATAAAACACTATTTCTTGAATAAGTTGAATAATTGTTTATTTTAATATAATTTTTGTGTGCTAGAGTCATTGATTATACATAAAGCATAAAAGAGAAGAAGGAGAGAAGAGAATTAAAAGAAATTTTTCCTGAACTGGGTGGTAGCATGTGCCTGTAATCCCAGCACTGGGGAGCTAGAGGCAAGAGGTTCTCCATGAGTTCAAGGCCAGCTTAGACAATATAGCAAATTAAAAGTCACCCTGAGTTATATAGTGAAACTGAGTCTCAAAACCATAAAGAAAATCAAGTGAATCACAACAAAAAACAAAAGAAATAATTATTTTCCCTAAAAGAGCAATTAGTAGTATACCACCCAGATTCTAGAGCTTTCTCTCAGTTCAAGTATTGGCTTCCATGTTTACTATTACATGGATTTTAAACAACTTACTTGACTCTAACTGCGCCTCAGTTTCTTCTGCAAAATGGGCCCTTAACAATGTTATGAGGGGCTGGACAGATGGCTCAGTGGTTAACAACACTTGCTATTATTTCAGAGGACCTGAGTTCAATTCCCAGCACACATGTCAGGTGACTCCCCTGTAACTCCAGCTCCGGGGGATCTTACACCTCTGGCCTCTGGAGGCATCTGCACTCATTCACATTCCCAACTGCAGACACACAAACCTATCCATAATTAAAAATGTCTTTAAAAGAAAAAAGAGAGAGTATTATGAGGGTTCAGTCAGGTGTGTTAATATACACCTATAATCCTAGTAATTGAGAGGTGGAGGCAGGGAGATTAGATTGTCAAAACTGTTATGAGATTAATGAAGTGATTATATATTAAGTGCTTGGACAACAATGGCAGATAGTGAGCATGAATTACATCTTTGCTGGCGTTATTACTCCTAGAATCATTCTTTGGAATCTTACCTTTTTTCTTTCTTTTTGGTTTTGTTTTTTGAGATAGGATTTCATGTAGCCCAGGTGTCCCCAAAATTACTATGTAGCTGAAGAGGATCTTGAACTCTTGATCCTCATGAGTCTACCTCCCAAGGGCCGGGATTACAGGTGTCTGTCACTACACCTGACTCTTAGAGGATTTCTGAGGAGTGTGTGCTCATCTTTTCCTTTTTATATGTGTTTATTTAAAACTTTGTTTGTGTCAATATTATCCCTGATCTGGTTAAAAATCAAACTGTACTTAAAGACCAGTAATGGAAACAGCAGTTCCCACCTCCACAATCAATCTGTGGCCTCTCCGTGGAGAGGCCTTACTTCTAGAGTGGTCTTTCAGTTGATTTTTCCAGCATTCCACTTCTTGACTATACATGATATCCCTTTTCCCTTGACTAATAAGTTTAGACTTGAACTGTTAGTTTTTGTGTGGCAGTCATATTGAACTTTACTGCATCCTTCAGTCCATTTCTACAATTTTACTGGTGTCATTTATCAAAATTAGGGTTAAATTATATTTAGTTTAATATGGGTTCATGTCTGTGGTTTACATCTGAGCTGGTTAGTAGGGCACAATTACATTTTATTTGCATTAGAAATTTCCATTTTTACTGCAGGTAATAATTACCTTGTTTTTAAATTTCATTGTTTCTTTATTCCGGTCCTCACAATCGTTCAGGTCCATCAAAGACTCCCATTTCATGCTCAAACGGTGAAATACTTCTGATAGAATATCTTTTGTTTGTCTTTGATGATTTCATATAGGTAAAGAATGCGTCTTGATCATAAGCACCCCCAGGTTCCTCTTCCTAGTCCCCCAAGAAACCTCTAGTCCCTCCCTTCCACTCCCCAGAAAGACCCTCAACCTGCCTCTCTCTCCCTTCACATCTTCTCCTTTCCTTGTTAACAAACCACTGAGTCCGGTCTGCACTGACTGTTGGAATGTTGACTGGCCTTGTTGGTTGGCTGTTGTGCAGGTAACCATGGCTGCAGTGAGTTTATGGGTACAATGGTTATGTCATGTCCCCAACATAGCCCTTCCCGGAATTCCTCATCCTCTTGTTCTTATATTTCTTTTACCCTCCTTCTAAGATGTCCCTTGCACCTTGGTGGGGGACAGGAGCATACAGATGTCCTATTTAGTGATGATCAGTACTTTGAACAGTTGTGAGTCTGGGTATTTACTGATGTCCACTACAGAGAGAATAGTCTTGGGCCAAGGTTGAGGGCAGCATTAAACTTGGGTATAATGATGGATATTTAGAAGGTTGTTTGATATTTCGATGTATTTTAGCAAAAGAAGAGTAATAGGTTCCTCCCTAGGGCCTGTGACTCCTGAGCCATGGACCTATGACCAGGTTTACAGCGCCAGGCCTGAAACTCCTTCCTAGGGAACAGGCCTACTACTGAGATTTTAATCTAATAGCTCCTGTCTTCTGGGGAAAGCGTTGTCTGCCCATGCAGGGTATCTGTGTTCAAGCTCCTTCCAATTTTAAGTTATATTTGTTACTCAGTTTAGAAAGTAGAGGGTTTCCAGAAGGGTTTTTCATATATCCTTATTTTGGTCAACCTACCCGACTCTTCCTCTCTCTCTCCCTCCCTGCCTCTATTCCTGCTTAAACCTCTAACTCCCGGAATTCTTCATCCAGCCAGCTTCATATCATGTGACTCTCCTCCCCCCACCCCCCTTATTTTCTCCCTTTCACAGGCCCCTTCTAGCTTCCTGGGCTCTCCAGCTACTCCAAATTCCATATAGAAACCTCAACATTCAAAGCTGGAATCCACGTGAGGGAGATCATAGGGGGCTTGTCTTCTGGATCTCGGTCACCGCACTTAATATATTTTCCAGTCCCCTCAGCCGGTGAAATATTTCGATAACCGGTCAGGCTTTAAGCTCCAAAAAGCTCCTCTCTCTCCCTTCATTTCATATCTTCCTTTAATCTACCTGCTGCATCCTGGATTTCCTTATACTTTTCCTGTGTTTTACATCCTTCTCTTTTTGTTTGCATGTTTGAAACAGGATCTCATGTAGCCTGGGATGACCTCTGACTCACTCTGTAGGGGAGGCTGGCCCGTAACTCCTGATCCTCCAGTCCCTTTATCTTATTTTACTGTTTTTTTTTTCTTCTTCTTTTTTTCTTTTCCTGGATCCTATCCTCTAGAAACTAGAGAAAAAACACATGATAGAATTCTTGGCTTTTTGTGTATTTGAAAAGGTCTTTATTCTCATATTTGATTAATGATTTGGCTGGTAATACAATTCTAGTTCGAACATCACCTCCCTCAGAACTCTGAAATTGGCAGTGGTTCAGTTCCTTCTGTCTCAACGTGGTGTTGAGCTTCCTGGGGTGCTCTGGCTTTGTTGCTTTTACCGGTGGCTCTTCTGTTCTTTGCAAATGCTTTTTATCTTCTCTGTGTTTAAAAATGCTTAATAGATTTTAGTGTGGATCACCGCTCAGCCTTTACAACAATGTTGCATGTATTTATTGGTTTGTTTATTTGTCATACATGTGGAAGTCAGAGGACAATTTGCCCATTACGTGGACCCTGGGAATTGAACTCAGGTTGTCAGGCTTGGCAGCAAGGACCTTTACCTGCTGAGCCGTCTTGCCAGCCTGTTTATCCTTTATTAGTTCATTGCAGTCGAGAGCAGTGGTTGTCAACCTTCCTAAGGCTTCAACCCTTTAATACAGTTAGTCATGTTGTGGTGACTTTAACCATAACATTATTTCATTGCTACTTTGTAACTGTAATTTTTTTTTTTACCGTTACATTGAATCATAATGTAAACGTCCGTGTTTTCCAATGGCCTTGGGTGGCCTCTGTGAAATGGTCATTTGACCCCAGAGGGGTCGTGACCCACAGGTTGAGAACAGCTGGTCTAGAGGCTCACGTTAGTGTTGTCTCTGTTACTTTTCTCATTGCCTTTTTTCTGTTTTCTTTTCTTTCTCTTCTCTTCTCCCCTGCCCTCTCCTTCCCCCTCCCCTCCCCCTTCCCCTCCCCCTCCCCTCCCCTGCCCTCCTTTCACTTCTTTCTTTTCTTTTCTTTTCTTTTTCTTTTCGCAAAAGGACAGCGAGTTGATGCCAGAGTTCCTGAACCGATTCCCTGGGTTCTGGAGTCTATTCTTTGACTTTTCTTCTCACTGACATCGTTCCCCTTCCAAAGTGTTGAGAACCGGACCCAGGGCCTTGCACATGCGTGGCAAGTGATCTACCCCTGAACCACGTGCTCAGCTCTAATTTATTTTACTTTTTAGGATATTTTCTCCAATTGGTCTGTCAATCCCTTTCTGAGAACTTGGAGTTTTTTTTTTTTTTTTTTTTTTGGATGAAAATGCATGATTATATTCTAACCTTAAAATTACAAGAGAGACTGTAGGTGGAAGTTTCCAGTGACTCATTCGAAAGGCAGCTGAACAGCTGTTCCCCTCCATGGTAGGGAGGTTGGGTTCCACAGAGGTAAGACTTGGGCTGAAAAGCAGGGGAATTTTGTGAATGTTTGCATATTGGATATTGGATAACAGAAGCACCAGCTCTCCAGCAGCCTGTGCCCATCTAGGCGGATAGATATTCCAGGGAGGACCTGACTGAGTCCTTTGCTAGGGAATAGAACACTGGTCATCAGGTCATGAATTTTTGGAGTAAGATTCTCCAGGGTGGGAACATCCTGATTTCCTGTTTAGACATAACCCCCGCTGCTAACGTTTTAAGAGCTAAGGGGAGGCATAGGATTATCTCCTGTGTTTTTACTTTATTTCTCTGTTTTCAGTTACTCTCCACTGTGCTTGGCGTCTCAGTCCGGGGGACATTGTGTTTTACCTTTTCTAGAAAACGTCACGCCTTTGTTCATCTGCTGGGGTAGAGGAACGAAAGTCATCCAGCTGAGCTAAGGGTAGGGTACCTCTGTCTTTTCTGCTCTTTCGGCTTCATACTTTTGGTTAATCTGGGTTTTTCTTTATATACTGGCATTATTTCCAACCATATTTCCACACATGTCTCTTTAGTTACTGTTTAATTTAGTAGTATGATTCTCACTTCTAGAATTTTTTTTTCTAGTTTCTATATCTATCCTGGGGTTCCCTACGTTTTTATTCATTGTGAGTCTATTTTCTTATATATCACTGAACATAGTTATAACAGCTGTTTCAAAATTATTGCTCGCTACTTCAAATGTTTGTATCATCTCAGGAGGGTCAGTTTCTACCAGTCACCTTTCTCTCGGGAATGAGTCACATTTTCCTGATCTGGTGATCTTGAATAAATTTCAGTTGTGTTCTGGATATTGGGAATGTTCTGCCGCACATGACTGGGAAGCATTGTAAGTATTGTTCATTATTAGTTTTTGCGACTTTTTTTTTTGGACAGAGTCTCTGTCTAGAATTCATGGTGTACCAGAAGCTGGCCTTGAGCTTGTGGCAATCCTCCTGCATCGGCGCTCAGATCACAGGCATGAGTCTCCGCACCCGTTTATTGTAGACAACAGATAAGGATGAAGTCAAGCTGTAAACTCCGATTTGGGGACTCAGCTCAAATTTCCGTTTAGTTCTCGCTCACGAGGCTTGGCTGTTTGCTCTTTATTCTGTGCACATACATGTAGCCATCGGGGCAGGGTCTATAATTTGTAGTCCCCCCTCTCTGGCTCTTTCCTTCGCAATACACCACTTATTTTTCCAGTGGGTGGTTCTCAAAGCCCGAAGGATTTGATTTCCAGTTTTCTCCGGGAGTTTCAGGCACACCACCCTGGCCATTTCCTCGGGTTTAAGAAACAAAACAGGCAAAAAGGGAGAAATACTCTGCCAACCTTCTTCTAAGGATCCCCGACGCCCCAGAAAAATCCACTTCTGTTCACTTGCCAGTAGCTTACTTAAAAAATAGTGTCAAAAGATTACGACGGCTGTGTGGGGGCGGGGCGAGCCCAGCGGGGCTCCCTCTCTCCTACCAGACCGGGGCTCTTCCTAACGACCTTTTCAACAGTTCCGTCATGCTTTTCAGTCATTGACTTCACATCTAAAGCACCACAGTGCCCATAGCTTCTGAGCCCCTTTGAGGTCATGTGGTACAACGGACCGCTGTCGCTGCTACAGCGTTCTTACCGAAGAATTTTCAGTGAGCATAAATAACATGTCACTAAGTGGGAGGCGATGGAGGCTGGTGTCATGGAACTGTCTGTGGCTCTGCTGCTTGGTTTCAGAGTGGCAGAGGTGAAGTTCCTTCTGCTTGTGTAGATGTAAGTGCGCTCCCTTCATTTGCTATTTTTAAAAATGTCACTAGGAACTTCTAGCAGGATTGGGGGTTCCCGTTGAGAATGGAGATCTCTCGGCCTTCAGCTAATCTCTCTGCATTAGACTACAAAGGTATAAAGTATGAATCTGCAGACAGCAGGGACTGTGAGGTGGTTCAGTGAGTGAAAACACTTACTGTGGGTAAAAGGAAACTATGACATATGCACACACACACACACACACACACACTCAAGTACACATTTCACACAAACATCACATTACACACATATACTCTCACACATACATTATATATAACATATATGCATATCTATACAATGATAATGAAGACAAAAATAAGTACAATTTGCAGATACCAAATTCTCTGTGTGTTCATCATTCCTTCCATCATAGGCTGCTTAATTAATAAATCGCCTCCTCCTGATCTTCGCTTGGCTTCCCAAGTACCTGGTTGTTATTACAAATGGAAGTGGTATTGTCAGTTAGACATGGCACCTGCTTTCAAGTCAGCAAACATGCTTTAGGATGACAGACAGGAATAATTTGGAACCATTCTCTCCCCCCTTTATTCTGGGGTCAGTTTGAACCGTGGTATTAGCATTAAGCATCAGTGCTTAGGTAGAGAGATCTTCTTAATGCTAATGTGTATGTACTGTTGATTACTGCACAAACAGCGTGTCCCTGTTGCCTCTGGTTTCCTGTTGCTTGTGTTTGGTTTAGTGATATTAATTGTTCTGTGTGATCATAATCTCACAGATCCAGCTACATTAATGCCCCAAGAACAGTCAGGGAAGCATTGTGACCGTTATCCCATTAATTTCTGTGAGTTCAATTTTGCTATAAACTCAATCGTAGAAGATGTATAACTGGTCTGTTGAGTCACTTTAATCAGGAATTGGTATTCCTGAATCTTTTTTTTTTTTTTTTTTTTTTTTTTTTTTTTTTTTTGGTTTTTCGAGACAGGGTTTCTCTGTGTAGCTTTGCGCCTTTCCTGGAGCTCACTTG